TCTCTCATCTTTTTAAGTGGGAGAACTTACACAATTGGTGGCTGACTAAATGCTTTTTTGCCCCACTGTAAATGTTGTCATCTTGTGGGATTGAGGAAGCGTACCTTCTCTGTAGCAACCCCTGCTCTCTGGAACAGCATCCCACTGGAGATACACATGGCTTCCACTCTCCAAGGGTTCTGGAAGTCCCTTAAGACCTGGCTCTGTTCCCAGGCCTGGGGTTAGGGTGTCTCTAGAGCCCCTCTGGAATCTTTTTTTGAATGTCAGGAATGTTGTTTTAATCCAGGCAGTCATGTTATTTTGGTTGTGTTTTTAACTTATGTAATGGATATACTATGTGCTGCCCAGAGTCTTAACAAATCAAATAAAAAAATAAATCAGCATTGGTTTCCAATCCCATTCTCATAGGAATAATGTCAAGCTGCATATTTTCATCTTTAAAATTTTAAAAGTGGCTGCAGCCAACATCTAAGAATTAGTTCTCTCTTAATGCAACCAAGGTGCCTTAAGAGAGAACTGGTAAGGCCAGACAAAGGTGGCCTCTTACCACAATTCCAGTTGAGCAGAAGCTTGTATTTGGCAGGAAGGTTAGGCAAAAACATTCTAATTGGCTGACTTGAACAAATGTACAATTTGTTCCTCCTAAAAGGTAAAGATCCTCTTGAATCAAGCTTGACTCCTGGGGACTAGATGAACACAGCCATGAATTGATCTTGGCAACAAGATGGACATAGCTTGTTTCTAGGGTATTTTTCAGGTTCCCAGTATGGATTACAGTCCTAATATTACCTACCCTAACCCTAACCCTGGTGGTCTCCCATCTAAATATTAACTAGGCTCAACATAACCTGAAACAAGATTAGCCACCTGTTGCCACCTGAGGACGTCCTTCCTCTTAGTTACCTGCTGATGCTCAAATCTGGGAAATTTGTGGAAAAAAAATGACTTATTAATCTCTGTGCTTTTTATGGTTTTATATTTTAATATGGACACATTGGTTGGATGATGGGAGGTGTAGTTTTGCAGGGCACCAAAAAAGGCAAGCTACTTTACAGTTTCTATCTATCTACAATACTCTCATCTAATTTACAACTTTCTTACATAAAGAAAGAATGCAGATATTTACTGTTAAGTTCCTGTTCCTGCGACAAAATGCACTGATAGTTTCCTTCAAAAGTCCATAATTTTATTTCAGTGTCAAAAGGTAATCCTTTTTTGATAAGAACATACTTCTAAATCAAGGATTTACACTGGCCATAGCAAGTGTAGCAAGTCTTACCAAGCCTGGCAATCCTCACCTACCAACCACAATTGGGACTGGCAACTGTGTCACTAAGCGATGTGGTCATAAAGTGAAATGTCACATGAACGTGCCCAATCAGTTCCAGCTGCAGTCATGAAGCAAATCACCTGTGGTTGTTAAGCATGACATCACATGGCCACGACTTGTGACTTCCTGCTGGTTTCCCCATCCCCATTGACTTTGCTTGTCATAAGCCAGCTGTGAAGGTCACAAACAGCGATCATGTGACCATGAGATACTGCAATCATTGTAAATGCACACCAGTTGCCAAGTGCCCAGTTGCAATCATTGGGGACCAGGGGATGCTGCGATGGCGATATGTTCGAGGACCAGTCATAAATCTCCTTTTTCAGCACTGTAGTAACTTCAAATGGTCACTGAATGAGCAGTTGGTAAGCAAGGACTACCTGTAAGCCTATACAAAATTGCAGTCCCACTTGATTTATAATACCAATTGGTAGGAATAGCACTTTGACCAACAGTAATGTCTGTCATAATGCCTGAGAATTAAACACATTGTCATTTTATATTCAAAACTTTCAAAAAACTGCACACATAATTATCAGTTTATTTGGATTATTGCAACATGCTGTACATGGGGTTGCCCTTGAAGACCATCCAAAAATTACAACTGGTCCAGAATGCAGCAGCACGTGCAGTTTTGGGTGCTCCACAGTTTCCTCATGTTACACTGCTGTTGTGTTTGCTACACTGGTTTCCAGTTTTTTCTGGGTGCTATTCAAACTGCTAGTTATCACCTTTAAAGCCCTGAATGGTATGGGACAAAGTTATTTGCAGGACTGCCTCTCCCTGTGGGTACAGGTAGTCCTCAGGTTATGACCACTTGTTCAGAGACCAAGGTTCAAGGTTAAGATGGGGGTAGCTGCAGCTGTCACAGCGTCCCCACAGACATGTGATCATGATTCAGGCACTTGGCAACTGGCTCAGAACTACAATGGTTGCAGCGTCCCATGATCACATGATCACCATTTGCAACCTTCCCTGCTGGGTTCTCACAAGGAAAGTCAATGGGGAAGCCAGCAGGAGGTTGCAAGTTGCTCCTGCTCCCACCGCTTTCTCGCCTGCCTGCACTTCCTAGCACCTGTCCACGACACCCGCCAACCCTCCATAATGCCTACCTGTGGCACCTGTCTGCCCATGCTCCCTAGCACCTGCCCATGGCACCCCCCCACCCGTGCTCCATAGCACCTGCCTGCCCGCCTGCACTCCGTAGTGCCTTCCCAGAGCACCTGCCCGCCTTTAGCTCTCACCCACAACTCTCACCTGCCAGCCTGCTTACCTGGGACTCCCACCTCTTCCCATGTCATGGACTCGCTTAACGACCCACGCAGTCCTGGGACTGCTGGGATTTCTGTCACTAAGCAATGCAGTCACATGATGTTGCAGTTTACCACCACATTGCTTAGCAATGGAAATTCCAGTCCCAATTGCCGTTGTAACCCAAGGACTACCTGTATCTGCCCACACTACTAGGTCCAACAGGGTTGGTATGCTCCAGGTCGCTTCCCTTAAATGTTGCCATCTAGCAAGAACTAGGCAGCATGCCTTTCCCTGAGATCCAGCAGGCCCCTACCCTCCTAGTCTTCCAAAAAGCCTTGAAGATCTGGCTTTTCCCAAAAGTGTTGGGGTTGTGTGTGGCTGAAGTCCAGGAAAGTTGTCTGCAATGGATAGAAAAGTTAGCAATATTCTGTAAATTAGAATATAATTTACTGTAAACTATAGATTGCTATTAATTATTCTCCCCACTTGCTATACGTCCCCACAGATGCACAGAAAGGCTGGTATGTACTGGTACTGACATTAAATTCCAGAATTAAATTGTATTGGCTAGGTCTTGCTTGAGAACAAGCTTTCCAAAGCAGTTCTATTAAAATGGCAGCTGCTTTGTACACTGTACTCTAGCAAATGCCCACATTATATACAGTACCAGCTACAACTGTAACGTTTGAAGCATCCTTCCACCTATCTTTTAAAACTACATATACATTCAACAAAGCTGTGGAAGGAAGCCACGGCCGATGATACCTTCTTGTTGAATCTATTCACAAGGTTTAGTCATAAAGAATGCAATAACAACCTCTTTATTACAACTCATTTCGAAAGAAACCAGAGTTCTTCACATTTTCACCATTATGCTACTAATATGAGAGAAGAAGGCACTCTGTTGTAGGAAAGTTTCAGTGGATGGGAAAGGGTGCTTAACCTGTCTATTCACTGATTCAGCTAAAACCATTTCTGTAGTAAGTAGTTTTTTCCCCCTAAATCCAGAAAAAATAGTATCTAGAGAAAAAATAAACCTGTGAGAAATTTGTGATACGACTTGGTAAATGTGGTAGCATTCCTGCTTTCTTTCTGATTCCCCCCAGCAATTGACCCCACCTCCCTCCACAGTTCCCTAGATCAAAAACACAAAGGGACCTGAATTTTTGCTGATATATTACATGGATTTCTCCAAATGATGTCTGGAATTCAGGATAAGTACAGAGTGATGCACACTAGGCAAAACATCTTAATTCCACCAAAGTAATCAAAATTGGCTTCAACTGTCTAACAAAGTAGTTCTTGATGGTAGATAGTTCAATCAAATCATAAAATGCACATTTAGCAGGAATTGATAAATACTTAGATTTTGCTAGGGATTGTTAGGAAAAAATCTGAAAATTAAATGGCTATGATATTTTTTATATAATCTATGATGTGGCTGTATTTCACAGTTGCTGTTGCATGATTATAAAAAAGATTGCTAATAAGGTATACCATTTTAAAAAATATAGAAAAACTACAAAAGAATTAAACAATGACAAAAAATGGAAAGTAATTTTTCTCCCACTCTGCTAAGGCGCTTGGGATATTTAAGTATTTGAGATATTTAAGACTGTGGGGAAAATTTATAGGGACATTATAATTTTATAACAAGGTATGTATTCTGTAGTAGAGACAATAAGAGTTATTCTTATGCAACATGAGTTTGAAGCATATACCTAAAAGAAACATTTGAAATAGTTGCAGTCAAACACACATACATGCCCATTATAGAAAAGAAGATTAAGGACTTTCTTATTATTTCCCACCTGAAGAGTTTAAGACCTAAAGCCCATCATTTCTTTACCTGCAAATCAAATACGTTGGTCTTACCTATCCACTCACAGCAACTCATAGCATAAAGAATTATTATATATAATATTTAAAATACCTAAAACTGTAAATCTTAGAATGAAAACAGAACCCTGCATCTAAATATACAACTTATTCAGATAAGATATAGATACAGAGAGTGTACATAGATGCTACAGTAGTTGCCTAGCTACCAAGAAACAGACAAAATGATTGTGGCATGATATAGCATAAATATAGTCCAGAAGAACCATCAGATCCCTTCAAAGACTTTAAAAAGTTTATTTTACCTTTTTTTTTTTTTTTGGTAAGAAAGGCTCACACTTTCTGTATATTTCACTGTTTTTGTATATTTTATTAACATTACTTTTGAGGTTAAGACATGTTCATTAATGCTGCTATAAAGAAGGGAAATGGCATTGCACAAGGCCTTAAAAACCTGACTCTTCTCCCAGGCCTTGGGATAGGCTGGATGAAATCTCTTGTGTTTGACATATGTTGCATACGTTTCTATGTCTGGATCTGCCATTTTGTTTATTTCTCTTATTGTATTTTTATTTATTTTACTGCATTTGTGTTTTGCTTTTTTATATTGTGAGTTGCCCTGAGCTGGTATGGAGATGGATGCCACCAAAATTGAATTAAATAAATAAGATGTATTGTATTATTATGGACATTTATTGGTTAAAAGTGACAAAGAGAGATGGAATTAAATAAAAGAGAGGTTATTTCCCCTGAAGAAACAGTTTATTTATTTAACAAATTTATATGGCCACCCAACTTACACACAGTGACTCCGGGCAGCTTACAAAGTAAAATCCCCAATACAAAACCCCCATCAACTCCCACCCCCTACGGTGGCCAAATACACAGTTAACACAACCACTTGATCAGCTCCTTTTCAGCTTGGGGTCCCCAGGCCCGCTGGCAAAACCATGTCTTCAGGGCCTACCAGAACAACATCAAGGTGGGGCCACTCTTATTTCAGAGGGAATAATATTCCACAGGGAGGAGACCACTATGGAAAAGGCCCTTCTTTGTGCTCCCATCAGATGTACTTCCCTTGATTATGGGACCCACAACATACCCAGCTTCCCTGCTCTAGTGGGCTGGGTAAATGTAATTGGGAAAAACCAGTCTGCAAATAACCAGGCCCCAAGTCATGTAGGGCTTTAAAGATGGCAACCAGAACCTTGAATTGGATCCAGAAGCAAATTGGCAGGCAATGCAGCTCCTGCAAAAGAGGTGACACATGCAGAAATCTGGACTTGCGCAGAATTATGCGGGCCACTGCATTTTGAACCAACTGAAGCTTCCGAATACTCTTCAAGGGCAGCCCCATGTAGAGCACATTACAATAGGCTTACAGTTGCAAGAACAATTCTTAACCTGTTCATAATGTGAGAAAGTTTCTATTTGACACCAGAACCAAAGAAAATAGATAAGGTGAACCCCTCTTGATACTGATTTTAAAGTATCCTTGAATGCATAAAATTAATTCTGAATTAAGTCCTGAATTATTTATTTAACTGAAGGAAAGAATTCAAATAGCTTGACACCCTAATTATTTACACCCTGTAAATCTAAAAAGAAATGAAAAACACCAAACATTTTATTTTATCCCTCAAATTAAACAAACAATAGACTAATCATAGTTAAAATGCATTTTGGCCATTTTAATTGAAAAATATTTCTAATAAAGGTACTACTGTACTAGAAACTATAGCTAATTGCTATGGCTTTAAGCTGTAAGCCTGTCCCCCCTGTCCCATCTGTCACTACTACAAAGTGTAAGATCTATAAAATAAGATGCTCTGATGTACTAAACCTTGGCAAATGGGCAGATTATCCCATGTTCCATCATCTTGACATACTGACACCATGTTGTCTAAATCAGAGTAATGGATCTGGAATCCTTCATGACAGCTGATTATTAATTTATCTCCAGTCCTGTATGTCTTGTTCTGAATCTCTGCATCTTCAACAGCTGGAGCAAGGCAATCTGTAGCTTCATAAAGAAATGTTATATTATTATCTTAAATTTGAAAAGGGTGGCTAATGTAATGCAAAAAGTTTTATACCTATAATTTTCTACACTATGCTACATTTCCTACATTATGTTAGAAGATGTGCAATTAAAAAAAAAGTGATTGATTTCTTATTTTTTAGTCAACCATACTGTATCAGGACCAGTACATGGGTACACTAGTATAAACTTATTATTGTTCATTTCTTCTTCCCCCATAAAAATTGATTAAAGCATTTTATAAAGAAGAAAACAAACCCAACACCTGTCATATAAACTTGCTTACAACAATATAAAAACACCAAACAGAAAAACACAAAGCCCTAAGAATATGTATGTATGTATGTATAAATAAATAGAAATTGAGCCATATGAATGTCAATTGAAACTGACAATCAATTAAAGATCAGTTTAACTGCTGGCAAAAGGATACAGATAAAGGGGAAGTTGACCTAATCTCCACATGTAGGGTGCTACCACTAGAAACAGTTGCTCTTAAACAGCAGTAAGGTTCAAATGAGAGGAAATTACTGCTAAATTAAACAGTAATTCAGGGTCTTAAGCTAGTACCAGTACACTGAACTATGAATAGAGACAAAGTGGCACCTTCACCCCAATCAAAATAACAGCAGAATTCTGCACTAGCTGAAATTTCCTGGTAATTATCAAGGACAACACCAACTCAATCTCTTACAGCAGTCCATTGGGAAATTTCTTTCTTTCTTTCTTTCTTTCTTTCTTTCTTTCTTTCTTTCTTTCTTTCTTTCT